TCTGTCTGTCTGTCTGTCTGTCTGTCTGTCTGTCTGTCTGTCTGTCTGTCTGTCTGTCTGTCTGTCTGTCTGTCTGTCTGTCTGTCTGTCTGTCTGTCTGTCTGTCTGTCTGTCTGTCTGTCTGTCCTTCCTTTCTGGTTCAGTTTTTTGGTGGTAAGAATTTTTTAATATAAAATGATGTTGCTTTGAACAATTTCTTTAACACTCTTCTTCAAATTGAACCATGGTCTTGTGTAAATAATTGAACAAAACGAGTTAAATTTGCCTACAACACATAGTTTCAGTAAATTCTCCTTCTGTAGTCATTAGTGTTGTTCTGGTGTTACTTCTGTAGTTGTCTACTAGATAAGAGAAGGACTGCAAGAAGCATGATGCATTTTAAAGGATAAACAGCAAACCTGCTGCCATGCTGCCAGAAACATTTTACTACTTTTTAAGCTTTGCTTTTGACAGAACCGCAAGCGTCTGTGGCTGAAGAGAAAGGAAGTGCATGCTAGAACCTGAGCAATGTTAAAATCTGGCTGTTTGAGTAAAAATGAGGTGCAGTCAAAGCAGCCAGACACAACATATAAAAACATCTTGTAGCAGAGCTGCCTGTGATCCACAAAGACAATGGGAGTACTGCAACACCTGCTTCTTCCCGTGTCCACTCCAAGCACGTCTTGTCTTCAGGTGAAAAGTTTGCAGTCTGCTGCCCTCTGCACAGACCTGTAAAGGTCATTAAGCTGGTAGGCCCATAAAAATAACCTTTAGAGGTGACATGATGATTCTGTAATGATACTGTAAAGTTACAGTATGAACCTTTTAAAAAATAACCTTTAGAAGTGACATGTTGATTTAGTACAGCCTTTTGTTTGATATTTAAATCCTTTAATTTCATTAACTCATAACTCTGAGAAACAATACGTTTCTGCTGTGTATTTAATATAAAAATAAAGGATTGAAAATGAGCGAAAACATATGGTCTAAATCACACGCAACTATAAGACAGCATCACAAGTCTGTGGTATAAATTAAGTAAGGCTTAACGGTATTAAAAATATAGATGGAGTGATGATGGCTCAACCCTAACAACTGCTGGACGACTAGATGGATGAGACCTGCACTGCTGACAGTTCTGCTAATGTGACGTTTTACTGGAAAAGAAGAAAAGACAGGTTGTTTTATCCGACACAAGATGATAGTTAGCTTGTGTGCTGACTTTGGCTTCAACAGCTGTTTAAGACAAGCATCTTTCTCTGTTTCCTCTGAACGTCTGCCTTTTGATTTGATTCTGTGCAAGGTATGATCCATATGGTCTGCATGATCCAGTGCACAGATTATGTGATTATCTGTTGCAGCTGAAGGAGGTTGCCAGGCCTCCTCACAAAGCCCTAAAGCTGTTTTGTGAGCACTGATGCCTTTCTTCTGATATTTTTTCCACCGTTTTAGTCATGAAAGTCTGTCATATTTTGCCTTTAGAGCTCCAGAGCCAACTGCAGAGGTTGCCTTGTGTGTTTGGACCTTTACCTGTTAGTTGAAGACATTTAATGTTTTTAGTTTAAGAAGCTTCCCCCCATTTAAATTAAAAGTGCTTAGTTCCAAGTTTTCAAACTGCAGTGAGACGATCTGTTTATGCAGGCTGAACTCATATGCAAGCTACCATCCACTGCAGCAGGTCAGTGTGTGTGTGTGTGTGTGGGGGGGGGGGGCTACAAACTGCATTCATGACAGAGATTGTCTGGATCTTTTGTTTTTGCCTCTTTCAATGGGAATGTTTGATTCTTAAAATTGCAGAGTTCAAAAACTTCTATTTTTCATCTAATTCATTAACAAAATGTACGTAAAAATGTCATTTTTAAGGATGAAAAGGAGAAAAATGTATCCTTGAATCCTACATTTAGAATTAATAAGCTTACTATGTCAGTACCTCATTAATATGCTGAAGATGGCCATTTGTACATCATCTTTATAATCAGCCAAACATCAGTGTTCTCTTGTTTCTCCAGTCCTTTACATATTCAGGGACGCCTCAAGATGATCCCTAAAATATTGTGATTAATCGTAAAGAAATCTTCACATACCTTGCCTCCTACACCAACGTCCACAAAATAAAAATTCTTTTTTTACTTGTTTTTATTATATGAGGAGCCAAATATTTGGCATAAATAGCGAGTGTTTGTGATTACTTATTTTATTGCATTTGAGCTTGTTTTCAAAAATAAATAAAAAAGTGACTCCACAATTGTTTATTACCAGTTCCCCATTACAGCGTGTGTAGGGTTTGATTTATATGTGAGGTTACAAAAGTGCACTACAAATTAGAAATATGTAGGCTTAAACATTGCTCTTTTTTGGGACTCATTTGGCAGACATGTCCTCAGAAAATATCAATGCAACGTGAGAAGCTGTCCCAGCAGTGCATCTGTTAATTCCAGCTGTCACTTTTAACAGTTTGTACAATTACCAAGTGAAAAATTAAGCTTATGTTGGCTGTAATATTCAGATGTACGTTACTGTGGCGCTGTGCAAAATTTAGTCCAACAAGCTTTCTCTGGTTTTAGCTGCCCTCATTACTCAACAAATGTCTGTTTCCAGCTTTCCTTCCTGTCCTGGTCCTAAAAAAATGCATCCACGTTAGGTAAATTAATGCAAATACACCAACCATGTTTGTTACGTTTGTTATATTTCCTCTCTGTTATCCAAATCTGCCGTGTGATGTTTATAGTTTGACTCTTGAAGAAATATTCCAGTTCTTTCCTCATTTTCAACTGAAGCAAGCTTTGTTTTACATAAAAAAACATTATATACTCAATTTTTTAATTACATTTTTATTCTATTCTTACTATCATTTATGATATTTATTCCTTAACGTTATTACAGCAGAGCCCTTTGTAATGTCAGAAGCTCTCAGTTATTAATACATTAATACACTATATGTTATATTATTACTGTTTAGCGTATATCTTTGATCCTTGTATACTGCTTCTTTTTAAAAATATTTTATATTATTGCTATTTTTGGGTGTAATTGGAACCTTACAGATTTTTTTTTGATACAAAAACCATTAAGAACCTTGAACCTTAATTAACAAACACATTACATTAAGATTTTTTTAAACAACTTATTACCATTTGCCCATTCTTGTTTCTGTCCTGGGTTTTGATTTACGTCTCTCCCTGGATGTTAGAAAAACATTTTTGCAAAAATATGTAAAACTTGTTTTGATCAGGGAATTTGAGAACTTTGGCAACGTGAAAGAGAAAAACTTTGGGGACTTACCACAGAATGTTGGCGTTAGAGCGTGGTTTCTTCTTCAGAAATGTTCTAGTTTTAGCTTATTCTTCTGGCCGGATGCATACAGTAAAACTTCACCTCTTGCTTTTGCCGAGGTCGGACGCTTTTCTCTTCCTCTCCCTCTCCGCTTTGCTTTGATGCTCTGTCTGTTAGTGAAAATGCTTCTGAGCCTCTCTTGCAAATCTTCTGAACCATAATTACGGACTTGTTTTGATCAGTTGGTCCCTCAGCACAACTGATAACATTTATTTGAAGAGAAGACAGGCTTTAGGCGAGCCGATTTGCCCTGTTGGCATGCACGCAGCTGAATATCTCATCGACTTGGAAGACTTGATGTGTCTATCTCTTCTCTATTCTGCCTTTTGTGGATTTTAAGGACGCATATTTAATTGGATTTACGATAACTGGTTCCTGCTTTTTGGATTTAGCTGGATGCTGGTTTTATCTACAGTCAAGGAAGTCGTCGGCAGCAAATTTGGACCCGATCATGCTGCGTGCCTTTATGATGGCTTGGTTCGTGCCTCGAGTACCCAGACTCAAATGCTTTGGGCAGAACGGATCAGCTCTCGGGGATTTTACTCAGGCACGGTCCATCGGAGTGGCCATGTAATTTGGACATTTTTGAGCCGAGTAGACCAACACAGATTTAAGGTAGATGTCATTAACTTCTGCCTGTCTCCAAAACAACTGTGTGTTTATTGGAATTTGGCTCCCTTGGCTGGCCTTGAAGGCCACCTTATCTGAATTCACCAGGAAAAAATGTAATCTGACGCTCTGCCCCAACCCCGACCCCTACAATCGAGGAATTTCCAACTGATAACCAGAGGAAACCAGCTGAATAAACATTGTGTCATCATTCCAGGACTCTTGGATTCCCATAGGCGTTGTCCTTGGCCATTCTTCAACATCCCTCGAGAATGTTTACGGATCTCACCGGAGGAAACTGGTTGATTATTCCATCCTTATCAGAACTCTCACAGTGCCCTTGCGAGCGTCCATGGACATTGCTCACTGCTCTCGTCGTCCCCCCCCCCCCCCCCCCCCCCCTCCGCAGAATGTCTATGTCACTAGGTGCTTGTTTGTGCGAGGTGTTTTTTTTAGTATCTCAGCCAAGAAGAAAAAGTTTAATAGGATTTTTTTGCCTCCAATTCCTATGTGTTCCAGTTTCACTACTTTTTGTCTGTCTAAACAGATCTCACTTGTAAATGAGTCTTCGAGGCTCAATGTGATTTATCTGTCTAAATAAAGGTTAAATGAAAAATACAGGCCAAGTGAATGCTAGGAGGTAACTAAGTGTGACCATACAATTCTAATTTGTTCTCTGTCTCTGTTTTCCTTTCAGACTGCAGCATGATGAGCACCATGGACCCTCTTCTCTTCATCACTCTTCTGTTCCTGCATAAGTTCCTTCCTTTACTGTTGGCTCATTGAAGAGACTTCAATAAATTTACATCAGCTACCAACTTATCACTTCCTATACCAAACAGACCCAAAGCAGTGGGAAGAGACGATCACAATTAAATCTATTTATGCCGCTGCAACCCATCACAGCAGGGAGTGAAAGCCATGCCACACAGTCTGCAGGAGACGGATGGATGGGAGCGGATACATTTGAGGTTACCTCTCAGATACAACATGGAGCAGTATGACTGTTGACTGCTCAGAATGTGGACAAAAGGAAAAAAACAATACAGTGGATGAAAAGAGTACCATTACTGATGGCAGCTCTATGCTCTGCTTCACACATTCTCTCATATCCTTACACCATATCCTGTGTGGGCCCATCAGCACACATCCTTCACCGCACTGTGAGTTTGCTGTCCATCTAAAAGTAGACATTTACATATGTCGTCTTGAATCTATGTGACCTCTATGTTTCGTTTGGTTTTTCTTTCAGAGACAGAGGTTTGATCCGCATGACATGTCAGTCACTGACATATATTTCTGCAGCCATGTCAGGCCTCCTCAGTATAAAGAACTAATGTTCAAAATGTTTGCTAGTCTAATGTCAGCTCATTCCTTTACATTTCTCTATTCCTCCATCACACACACACACACACACACCAACATGTGCACACACACACTTCCGTTCCCATGGCTGTGTTCCATCTTGTAAACAAATAATATGTGATATATTTTGAGTAAGATAAGGCACACCTTACCATGTTATTGTTAACCACCTCTGATAATGTTTATTTTTATTGAATTTATTGTGATCAAAGTAACACATTTCATCTCTATGACACGGATAGATTTATTGATAACTTGCAACAGCAGCTGAGATGAAGGTTTATTGTTTTTATAATAAAAGGTAAATTACAAAGCTGTTGTATGGTAATTTTCTTCTTTCACCGCAAGAGTAAGAAGCTCACAGAAGATGACAGTAATCCTCTTTGACAGACAGTCAATGTCAAGCAGGCAGGACATCTCTGCCACAACCAGATCTGTGATCTTGTTGATCCTTTCTCTGGCCTTGCCATTAACTCAGTACTTCTCCAGGGCAACGGTTTGGGGTTTTTAAATATTAATGACCTGATTTTCAGCATGTATATGTTATCGTTATTAGTTTGATAACCTTTAAGATTTAATTTAAATAAAAGGCGAGAGGTAAATCTTGGAAGCAGCTTTAAACTGACCCTCTTAATGTATGGGGAAGTAAATAGTGTTGCAAAAGATGAGGGGAACAAGTATTTCAAGTGGTACCCAAAGCTCATCCTGTCTAAAGGAGGGGGGGAAAGTCTATCCAAAAGGTTTGAGACAGTCAAACACCAAACAATTCTGCAGAATTGCACTGAGAATAACTGCAGAAAAACTGCAAGAACTGGGGTATGTACTGAGGGACCACAGACAAAAAGTGTCAAGTTGTGAATGACAGGAATAACATCGTTGTCTGGAACCCACAGACGTGTGTCAAGTGGATGAAGCCTCATCAGTTCAGCTTTGACAAGCATGAGAAGAAGTTTGGAGTTGGACAAAAAGAAAAGCATTAAAAGCTAATGGATGACATTTCCATAAAGTTTACAGATAACATCAGTACTCATAATTATTGCAAAAAGAGAAAGTTTTTATTAACTATTTATCAAAACCACATCTCAAGACACATTACTAATGGTTATAAATCTTATTGTATACAAATTTAGAGAAAAAAATGAAAATGTTGTGTTGGAAACCTATGACACTTTTTATGATTGTACATATAAAAATAGCATGTAAACACATGAAACTCATCAAATTTTAAGGTCTTAAGCAGATGGGGTAGTGGAACTGACTGCCAACATAAAAATTCTGATAAAACCAACTCACCGTGTATGAAGCTAAATTTGTTTGAGAACATGTAGTTAGTGAACTGTTCACAACTTGATATCATCCTGTATTTGTTGTACCTTTGAGGTTAGAAGTGAAAACTAGGAGTAGAAAACAACAAAACGCTCTACTCACCCTATATTTTTTTTTCATATAAGGGCGATACTACTTTACTTCAAGCTCAAGTTCCCTAACTACAGTGCCTCAAAACATAGCAAACAGCTAAACGCACAGCAAACAGCTAAACGAACAGCAAACAGCTAAATGAACAGCAAACAGCTAAATGAACAGCAAACAGCTAAACACACAGCAAACAGCTAAACGCACAGCAAACAGCTAAACGTGTCTCAAACAGTGCTGCAAACAAATGATGCAAATGAACAAACACAATAAAATAAATACAACAAAAAAATGCATTAAAAACAAGGAAATGAAAGCAAAGGAAAAATGCTGCAAATACTAAAAACATTACCTCCACCCTCCAAATAAAAAAAATAAATAAAACCCTGCAAGTACTTCTTTCTTTCCTGCAACTTTCTTCTAGGCATCTCGTTAATGTGTTTACAGGGGGCCTGGTCCTTGGGGATCGAGTCCCCCTCTGGTGCATTTTTGTTTTGTGCAGTGAGTTTGCAGCGTTTCTTACTTGCAGTTGTTTTTTGGAGGGGTTTTAGTGTTTTTGGTATTTGCATGATTTCTCCATTGCATTTGTTTTTTGTTTTTTTATTCTGTCTATTTTCTGTGAATGCAGAATTTTTGTTTTGCAGAGTTTTCAGTTGATTTTTTTTTTTTTTTTTTTTGGTCTTTGTGTTACGGAGTTTGCATCACTCATGTTTGCAGTGCGTCTCACTGTTTGCAGCACCTCTGGCTTTTTGTTTCACATTTGAACCTGTCGACCACCATACCTACCAGACCTGGAAACCAGAAGGTTTTGTTCAGTATGGTTGTTCCTGGGACTGCACTCTTCTAGAAAGGGGTTTGAGACTGTTCCTGAGTTCTTTTGGAGTCACACTTTCAGTTTGTGGACTCAGTCCAGTAATCACTTGCACCACTGAAACCTTGGCTGTCCACAAAATTGGGTTTTCTTCATTCAGCACTGAGAAATTCTTGAACTACTTGTGCTCTTTCTTCCTGATGTTGCAGTCATTCAGGATACATCACAGCTGCCTTTGGTTGTTCCTTGAGCACCTCAACGTCCTCTTAGTTAGCCATCACTCTTCTTTTCATCTGGATTTAGGAGTCCCACGGCATCTTACCCTATGTTTCTCCACCAGCATTGTAGAACCTCTCACTTTTACTGCAAGATCTCTAATCCACACACAGCCCAGATGTTTCTTCTATGTAGTGATGGTATTTCATTTACACTTTGTCTGCTTGCATCTCACATCCTGCCATGTTCTAGTCTACATTAGGGGCATCCTTGAACAGCTTGCATTTTCTGTCCTCTCTGATTTGGTAGACCTTGGCCTATATTGCTCTTGTTCTGAGGGTCTGCTCTTGTGCTGCTATGATTATTGCCTCTGGGCTGTCTTTTAGTGGCCTCTCTAGCCACTGATAAGATGTGTTGATATCGGCCACCTCCTCAATCTGCCGGTGATGTGTGCTGTGCAGGAGTTTATCTTTCAATAACGGTTCTTCCTGCTCCTCTCTGTCCTCAGAAAAGGACTCCATGATCTTGGTTGTTTCATTCCATGTAGTTGCTTGTTTTTTTTGTTTTTTTTACTTTCTAGTCTTCTGCTTCCCACCTTTTGCTTAGTGTATAATTCCAAGGTGTTGGACTTGTGTTGAAACTCTGTGCATTCTGAGGAGCTTTTGTGTTTTGATGGCAGTGGCTTCTATCTCCTCATCTGGCCAGACTAGTACATCACCAGTGTATCTGATGACTGACAATATGTACACATGCTGATGGTTTGAACTTTTTTTCTTACCATTTGGTTCTTTGGGACCTGCCTTACTTTTTCTAGTCATTTGACTGTTGCTGATTTTATTTCTCTTTGTGGTTTCCATTTGCCTGGGAGATTCCAAATAATTTGTAGTTGTCCTGAACATCTGTCAAATAGTTCAACCACTTTGGTTGTGATCACCTTGCCTTTTTCAATACCATTTAGCTACATTTATACAGCTGGATTAACATTCATGTGTCCTTGCTATTAATCCTGGTGAGGTGGAACAGTGAGTGAGTCAATGTTTCTCATTTTTGGCATACATCTTGATATACACAGAGGAGATGCTTGATGACTGCTCCACTTTGAAACTGGAATTCATGGCAACTCTTTGGGATGATCTGGCTCATAGGGTTCAGTTCTGTGTAGAACAGTAGTGGGTGCAGAGCATGGTATTGGAATATGTCACTCAATGCTAAGTTGTTCAGTTGGCTTAGAATTGTTTTCTGGATTTATCTTCCATACCAGCATTGAAAGTTATTTATGCTTTTTGAGGGTTTTGTTTTATTATTTTTTACTCAAAGTCGTTACATTAGTTTCATATTGAATGAGTTATTTATTAATTTATTAACCTTTGTTTAACTTGGCAAATCCCGTTGAGATCACTGATTTCTCTTGAAAGGGAGGCCTGGGCCTGAAGGCAGCATAGCATGCATGTTTTCAGACTGTGGGAGAAAAACAGACAACCCGGCGAAAACCCATACAAATGCGAGGAGAACATACTAACTCCACAAAGAAAGACCCAAGGTCCAACATGGGGATTGAGCCCAGGACCTTTTTTGCTGTGAGACAATAGTCTTAACCATTAAGCAGTCATGCTGCCAATTTTAGGGACACATTTAGAACATATTGACAGAATATAAAGATAAACACGTTGAGTAATTCTGACATTAAGCTCCTATAAAGAACTCACAAAATCAATGTGCTGTGGTCCTTTATTGGAGTCCGACAACATTCTAAGCTTGCATTTCATATAAAATAATTACTCAGTACCTTGCAATAAAATTTATTTGTCCCCTTGCAATTTAGTATTGAAGTGGTAATTTCCCCACCACCCACCCACCCACACACACAACAAAAAGAAATAATCTATTTAATCTTACACAGTACGCAGTTTTATTTCTAGATATATATTTTTGCATTGAAGCTTTTATCCTCCTGATGTGGAAAGAGTTTTTTTTTTTTTTATGTACTCAAGTAAAAGTACACTTACAGTGGTGATTGAATGTTTGTAAACCTTTAGGAATTTCTATATTTCTGCATAAAAATGACCTAAAACATCAGATTTTCACACAAGTCCTAAAAGTTGATAAAGAGAACCCAGTTAGACAAATGAGACAAAATATTATACTTGGTCATTTATTTATTGAGGAAAATGATCCAATATTACATATGTGTGAGTGGTAAAAGTATGTGATCCTCTAAGGATTATCAGTTAATTTGAAGGTGAAATTAGAGTCAGGTGTTTTTAGTCAATGGGATGATGAGCAGGTGTGAGTGGACACCCTGTTTGATTTAAAGAACAGGATCTATCAAAGTCTGATCTTCACACCATGTTTGTGGAAGTGGATCATGGCAGGAACAAAGGAGATTTATGAGGAGCTCAGAAAAAGAGTTGCTGATGCGCATCAGGTTGGAAAATGTTACAAAACATCTGTAAAGAGTTTGGACTCCACCGATCCACAGTCAGACAGACTGTATACAAATGGAGGAAATTCAAAACCATTGTTACCCTCCCCAGGAGTGGTGGACCAACAAAGAGCAAGACGTAAAATACTTGAGGAGGTCACAAAAGACCCCAGTGTAACTTCTAAGCAACTGAAGGTCTTTCTCACGTTAATGTTCATGAGTCCACCATCAGGAGAACACAGAACAACAATGGTGCATGGCAGAGTTACAAGAAGAAAGCCACTGCTCTCCAAAAAGAACATGGCTGCTCATCTGCAGTTTGCTAAAGATCATGTGGACAAGCCAGAAGACTGTTGGAAGAATGTTTTGTGGACGGATGAGACCAAACTAGAAC